CATCCATAGTGACCAGTGAGTGACAGGTAGCCACCACCCTGTGTGTCTCAACTGGAATCTCAGATACAGGCATCACCTCCTTCCCCTCTCTGTCATAAAAAATAAGTTCCACGTAACGTAAATGTATGTAAATATTAACCAACCTAAAGTACAGTGTAGTATGCTTTGTCATTGTGCTTCACAATTTTTGCTGTTATGGCAAAACAGTAATATCGGTGCTGAAAGTGTTTACCTAAGACCGGCTACTCCTCGTACTACCAGACTATCACTGGTGAGTGTTCCTGTTTTGTCAAAACAGCAAATCTCCACTTTCCCAGCAAATGGTATCCTGAAAGGCTCTGTGCAAAATACATCTGAGGAGTAGAAAAAGAAGAATGAAACATTGCTGTTACAAGTTTTGTTTTATAAGCTGCCTTTCCAAGTCTTCACAAGTTTTTACATCTAAATCTAATCTAAATGCCTAAATGTTTGAAACTGACCATCTAAACAAAATCATAGGAATTTGTTCAGCTTTTTGTTTTGCCATTTTTCTCTCTCATATGTAGCAGATAGCAAGAGACTGTCCGTGTCACATGGAAATACTGTGGGTGCATTCAGGCTTGACACAGACTTTGTGCTACGGAGCTGGCAGGGTAAAACTGGTTTAATATCTGATCAAACTAATGTGGCCATTTTCCTTTTCACATTCAGCGCTGATATCTAGGAAAGTTTAAGGCTATAGTGCACATCTTATATTCAACAAACAAACACAAGTCATGCACACAGACTTACAAAGTTTAGCTAGGGCAATAAGAGATGTGTTAACTGCTAGAGAAAGCTCTATGGGAAGTTCTGGTGGAACCACTGAGGTGAGGATAAGCGTGCACTCCAGAAAGAGCTTGTATCGGTTTCTGCTTAGGTCCTTGGTCCCTAACAGGATGAAAGCACAAGTACATTATTTAGATACAATTTATTCCAGACACATGACGTGTTAGTTATGAATTACATCTCAGTAAGCTCATTCTTGGCCTCTCACCTTCAACCCACACATAAACAGCAGCAGCAATGGCAAACACAAGAAGGAAAAGAATGAAGATGAAGGTCTCCAGGTTGTTCGCTGTCACTCTCTTCACACCAAAGAGAATTGTCCTTAACAGTTTACCCTAGAGGCAAGTTTGACAACACACATTTAATACACTTTCGGGTATGACATAACACAGACTATAGATTGCTATCAAAACTAGAATATAAATGCAGTAAGCAAATTCCTGACCTGAGAGGTGTAGAATCCTGTTCTCAGTACGTAGGCTACACAACCATTGTCTACCGCTGCACATAAAGAAGAAGACTTTAAAGCATGCACCTAATCTTAAAAAGATATATAATGCATAATCATTATCAGGAATCATTTACAGAAAATGGAATTAGGACTTACGCTTGAGTCCAGCACTGGCTTTTAAAGGCGGGCTATGCTGAACTACTTTAGTCCCACCAGAGATGACATGGAGGCGAGAGTCTGTCTGAAGATCCAGGATTCTTTCTGGGTCCAAGTCCTCAATTGGCTCCTGATCACCACATATTTTTAGCAATTAGCTGAGCTACACAAAGACTAATGCCATTTTGAATAATTAGACATTGTAATCACCTATATGTTTCTAACCTTCATCTGGGGCACAGATTCTCCAGTTAGCATGGCCTCATCCACAATGCAACGGCCCCTAAGCAGCAACACATCACATGGGACCAAGTTGTCCTGTGGTGAGCGCCCTATTAGGTAGAGAAGTAGAGAATATACATTTAGCCACAGCTAAACAGAGTTAAGTTGATTTTTGTGTTGAGAAATCACGAAAACATTGACTGGAGACTCACCAATTGAGACAATGTCTCCAGGGACAAGTTCGTCACTAGAAATATGTCTCCACTTCCTGTTGCGATATACCTGTCAAAAAATACATGTATTTAATATGGGCTGCTTTAAATACTTGCACTGATTAAACAAAACATTGCAAGAATCCTTGATGAGCTTGCTACCAAATCTCAAATCAATTAAGGCAAGAGAACTACAAATCACAACGCTCAGTGATGCTTTCAGCATAGCTTTGTATTAGCCATGGTCCTGTGTTAAAGCAAGCATGAATCAGATTTGTTCCAACACTCTGACCCTGGTTCATTGGTCCCTTCTCAGACCAGTGTCACTACCTGCTAACCACTGATTATGTGGCCATTATTAAAATTAGGTTTTTAGAACTACGCATTTATCCCACAACAAGTATATTCACTATAAGAACCAACTCTTCACTTAACATCTAATATATTTTAGATGTTGACGTGTTATGATAATTAATGTAATTGCAGGATTTCTTTGGCTTGTCTGCAATATTGACAATAATGTTTTTTGCTTTATACTTTCAAAACATATCATACAAAACAATAAAATACATCAACCCTACCTGAATCATATAGGGCTTGTTTCCCATGCGCCGAATCTCTGACATATTTCTCATTTGCTGCTGGACCAGAGAGGCCTCAAATGCCACCAGCATGAACAGCGTGAAAACACTGTAGTACCAATACTCATCCAGGCACCACAGCCCCACACAAAACACCTGATATATGGACGAAGGTGCGTAACAATACATGAATGCAAGAATATTTACATATATTTTTGAAATATAAAACCTGTCAAATACTTCCACACATACCTGGAAAACAAAAAAGGGAGCTGTGGCCCTTTCTTTGAAGAGCTCCAGAAAATCTGGAACAATCATTTCAGCACGATTGGTGCCATAACGCTTCTCTGCAGCTTTGAGCTCAGTCTCCTCCTGGTAGCCACGCCAGGATTGAAAGTATCCCAGTGGGTTACTTATGGGAAATGCTATTGGAAGGAAACATTTCTTTTCTTTGTAGTCAAAGGTGTAGCGGATCTTTTGAAACTCGAAAGACAGAGTTCTTTCCCCGTTTTCATCCTGTTGGACAAAATAAGAAATTGTATACTGAAGCATTCACAAAAGGCTGAAAGGCACTTGATACTCCTTACAATTTTCACATCATGTCTAATTATAGCAAATTATATGTACTCTCAAGTAGGGGAATATTTTAGAAAAAGATCCAACAAAGTTGTGGCCTTTTCAGTGGGTAAACTGAAAATGGTTTATTTCCAGTATACCAGTGTATCTGCTATGAAAGCGAACCTAACACTGAGCACTTTGTCAAGACTGCAGAGACAGCAAGACAACACTTTCCCATTTAACTTCTGTTACTACTCAAGCATGATACATGGGACTATCAATGCTGCAGACTGTAAGCTATTAAAATTATTTTCCTTGCCTAAAGTAAAACCAAAAACCTTCCCAGAAGGTTCACACATAAGCAGCATTCATAAGAAAGTGACAAAGGAGACAGTGTTGCTTCAAAACCTTGGGATTTGTCAACAGGAAGCATGCTCCAGATCAACAACAAAATCCACATCATTTCAGAGGATGCCAGGAGTAAATTATGTGCACTGACCTGGTCCCTCTGTAGTGCTACTAGCTCCGCGGAGCCATTGTTGGGGGTGGGTATGACCTTTGCCAGCGTAGCCTTTTCTGGGTCTGGCTCCTGCAGACGTCAAAAAAGACAGGTGACAAATTCACACACAACAGTCACACTTATTTTTGGCATAGTCGTGTGCCTCATGAATTTTGTTCCTCTAAAATAAAGCATTCCCTGATGTACAGCAAACATGCATTTCAGGCAGAATGTGAAAATGCACTTGTCCATTATATTTTGTGGGCTTTTAGTCTTTATTGTATTAAGAAAGTAAAGAGAAGACAAGAAAGCACAGTAAGTAGCCTCAGGGCAGATTTAACCTGCTAAACTATACTGGGACCTCAATATAAAACTATACTTAACTTTTATGTCTGACTGTAAAATTGAGCTTGATTACGTTATTGATGCAAATATAACTTTGATTTTGTGAAGGGGAAACTATTCTTATGCAGCTGCTTGCTAAGTAAACACAGAAATGCTGAGCACCAGGGTTTTCTTCCCCCCAAATTAGGTTTGCTTTACTTAGTTGGACATAAAAAACAAACAAACAAACAAATAAGATTATGCAAATATTTCACATACTCATTGCTTTTCTGTACACAGACCACTTGTGTTTAGATACATAATACGCCCACCAGTTATTGGTGTGGAGGCTTCCATCCTAGTCAAGAAATGTTCCTATATAAACTTTCAGCAATAAGTCAATCTCCCATTGGGAGGATTAAAGTCACGTAGGTTTTTACGCCTTTTTTGATTCACATCTGCCCCGTTTTAGAACACAGTGAATTTGGAAATAATGTCCAAAAGTATACTGATGACTTTAAATGAAGGTACTAAATGTTGTAGCGAAGATTTAAAATACGATTTTATAAGGGAAATGTGGAGATGTACGGTGAAAGTTTGGTCATTTGTGTCCATGAAATTAGTGCAGTGATTATAACCAGAAAACCTGTTCTGCTCCACTGGTTTCAGACACCTGTACCTGCACTTGAGCTCATGATGTTCCTGACCTTTGACATAGACAAACACAGAAGGGCAAACCAGTGGGATCTATTTGGATATCAGCAGGCTTAATAAGATATTTATTAATTATGTTTACCTTTGAACAAGTGAGCCAACAATGCGCGTGCACAGACCAATAACCGGAAAGTGCTGTGAGGACGTGCGCGATCCCGATAGCAGCTAACGCCAGGAGGCCTGCCTCTGGATAATCTGGGGCTCCGTACACTCCTAGCCATACGTACAGCCAGCCCGGGTAGAGAAAAGCCAGAAACGGGAGCACAGTGCCGTGCAGCAGTCGGGGCCTTCGCCTGTACAGCGTCACCGAGCTCACCAGCTCATCGCCGGTGCCGCTGTCATGCTGGTTATGGTTCACAGAGGGGGCCATTTGCAGCTCACCCGGTCCCCGGATTCCGTCTGCAGCTATTCTCCCGTCTTTCTTGGTGTCATTCATCGTACTGTGCTCGCCCCTCTGGCCCCCTCTATCATCCACCACCACCCGTCGTGCTGTAGCCTGTAAAAATACGAATCTACACACGGAACGGTGAGCGGTTTTGCCCTCAGAGCCCGTTTACTGAATCGCTCGCTCCCACGGCCGTGTCTTCCGCATACGTAACGACGTAAAGACACGTAATGTTCTAGCTGGCACAACGCGATTGAACCGGGAAAAACAACGTTGTTTTTTTTGTTTTTACCTCGAAATACTTGTAAAATTTACTGTTTAAAGTAAACATTAAAAACATTAACACTTCTAAATATAGGGGTGTATCTGGCAAAATGTAGACTTTATTTGCATGTTAATCGAGCAAGTGGCTTTCCCCTTTAAGGAAAGTGACGTCACTGTAGGGGCGTAGCCAGAGTGTGTGACTGATGCAATCCTGAACCAATAAGATTATAGAAACATTGGCTTTCCTGTCCAGGCATGGTTCCACATGCAGAAGTAGTGGTGGTGTAACCTTGGCTGATTAGCGTCCTCGTTTCAAACACCATAAAAGAAGCAACATGTAAGAATTTTAAATAATCAGTTACACAACGTACACGTTGTATTTCCTAGATAAAGAATCTAATGTAACTAATTACAAGTATTTGTTGCATCCTCCAGAAAAGTACTTTATCGTGTTGAATTTACTGCACACAGGAGTGATAGTTCTTATCTGTTCTCACGCACTGGTTTAAATAAATCTGTCACCTTTCAGGCAGGCTGCTATGGATATAACTGCAAAGTACTGCCGTAAAGAAATGGAAGCGTATGGGTTATGTGTAGCCTCCAATCCATCAACATGGCAGCAGAAGTGTCACGAGCTGAAGATGAATGTTGCACAATGTACATCATCACAGTAAGTCCATTTATTTGTTCTGTCATTCCTACTCGAGTGATTCTGGCATCCTGCTGTAAATATTTTCCAGGCGTATTTTAATCTAACCTCTAACTATGTTAAGCCCAGTCATCCAGAAGATCAGGCAGGAGTGTTCCAATGAGTTTGTGGAGTTTGAGCGCTGCCTGAGAGAACATCAGGGACAACCTGTCTCCTGCTCGCCACATGTGGCTCGCTTTCTGGGCTGTGCAGAGACAGTCGACCTCAGTGGAGTGGGTACGTTTTTCAGTGTGTTTTTTATGGAAACAGGTTGTGCATGCTGGTTTTTCATGCATCATAATATAAAACAAATTTTGAAGACACTAATGTTTGCAAAAATAATAATAATATTGCATAAGCTTTAGTTGCCAACATACCAAACGATTATTTTTATCTTTTCCAGCTACAAATCCAGTATCTCAACCATCTTAGCACAGGATGTCCTCCATTACCAGAAAAAACCTGTATCTACACCACTGCCACCAGGTGGGCTGGTTTCAAATGTATTCCAGACATGTATGTACAGTGGCTGATAGAATACAATACTTCCCAATTCCTACTTCCTAATTTTATTTTGCATATTTATCACATTTACATGTTTCAGACCATCATCATAATTTTAATATTAGACAAAGATAACCTGAGTAAATACAAAATGCAGTTTTTAAATGATCATTTATTTTGTTAAATCATCATTTAAACCAGGGGTAGGCAACTCCAGGCCTCGAGTGCCGGTGTCCTGGAGGTTTTAGATATGTCCATGATCCATCACAGCTGATTTAAAGAGCTAAATGACTCCTCAGCATTTCTTGAAGTTCTCCAGAGGCCTGGTAATGAACTAATCATTTGATTCAGGTGTGTTAACCCAGGGTGCGATCTAAAACCTGCAGGACACTGGCACTCGAGGCCTGGAGTCGCCTACCCCTGATTTAAACCTACCTAACCCTAGCTGAAAAGCCTAAATGTAATAACTGATTGTGCTACCTTTGGCAGCAAGAATTGCAATCAAGGGTTTGCAATGACTGGCAATAAGTCTTTCATTTTAATTCAGCTGAGCTGCAGGGTTTTCAAGGATGAATGACCTGCTTTAAGGTCATGCCAAAGCACCTTATTGACTAGGCCACTCCAAGTCTTCATTTTGTTTTTTTTTTTGCAAGGTCACACTTGCTTGTGTGCTTGGGGTCACTGTCCTCATGCATAAACCAAATGTGCTTGATTAGGTTCTTGGGTAATGGAGTGAGACAAATTTGATGTGCACTTGATGACGCTTCCATCAGTCAAGTCGTTCAGGTGTTGAAGCAGCAAAGCAGCCCCAAAACATCACACTACCACCACCATGGATGACTGTTGGTAGGATGTTCTACTTCTGAAATAGTGTGTTGATTTTATGATGTTAGGAATTACTTTTTCGTGTTTCTTTTTCATGAGTTTGGATAGCTTTTTCCCCCTTAAATAATTTACAAAGTGTATTTTATTCTTTATTGGATTATTGTCTTAAATTTGTTTGATAGTCTGAAACATGTAATTGTGACAATTATGCAAAAAAAAAAAAAAGACAACATCAGGAAGTGGGCAAATACTTTTTAACAACACTGTATTTATTTAAATTTGCGTTAGTACTGTGGGTTACATGATTGCATGAAGTATTTAATTGCTGTGTCATTCCCTAATTTCTCATGTAAGTTTTATGATTTAAAAATAAGATTTATGTCTCTGAATGTGAGAAAGTCAGGTGTGTACTGATTTATTGAACAGTTTCATTAAAAAAAATGACCTTAGACTTCTAATACTCTTCTGATGTTGTCATCCTCTTATTGTTTCTGTTTCTTGTGCCTATTCCTCCCACCCGTGCCCTCTTCAGGTCTGAGTCAGAGTCAAATATTAAACTGGAATGTATTGCTCCCACACAAACTATCCTGGCTACTCAGTGACTGAGCAATAGGGAGTCTGGGAAGAAAGGAGAGGGCTGTCCAGCTCTAATCAGTGGGACTACTGAAAGAGACAGAGGGAGGATGTTGAGTTATGAACCCTGTGACCACTAAGCAGAACAGACATTTTCTGGTTGAGTTATTAAAGTTTTGAGTGGAAAGACTGAGAGGAAACTGATTCCTTGCTTTTAAAGTGCATCTTTGTTTCATACCATTTGAGCAAGTGATAAATGCGTCATCATTTATTGTATTTAGGACAAAGAAGCCAAGTGTTGTTCAAAGACGAAACCGCAGATTGTATTGAAGATACGGCAACATTACATTCAAAGCACATCACCTGGCAGTCACTGATCAAAAAAGTAAGATAAGAACTCATCTACTGCACAAATAAGTTACATTCACAATATTATCACTTTAAAAACACCATGAGTCAGTTATCAGAGTCAAACATAATGTCAGGAAGGAATGTCACAGGCTGTAGCCAATTACTGGCTTCTAAATGAAAAGAGTTTCACCCTAATCCTATTTTATTCTGCACCACTTCATGATTCTGATCCTGATGCCTTCTGCAACACTTGAATTTGGAGGCTATTTCTTCATACCTACTTGTGGCACATAAATATCATGCTACAGTTTAAATATTTGCTGATTATCACATAAGAAGATACGAAATACCTACCTAATGTGACTTTCTGAGAAGGAAATTATTACAGTTTGTGACTACAACAGTTAATTATAACACAGTCATACACACATTTACATTTGGAGTACCTTCATGTACCCAGTATCCTTCATTTGGGAAATTATATACCAAAGAGTTGAAATTTACTGCACTGTTTTTGAGTGATCACATTATAAAAGAGAAAGGAAAACTAAAACGATAACCACTTAAACAACCCTGTTTCCGCATAAGGCTCCTCAAATGACCCTGTAGAGTTTATAGCTAAATGCCAAAAAAACCCACTTTTTTTGGTCCATATTTTATCAGTCATGCAGTATGAAAAACCAAGGATATAGTTTGAAATAATTTTTCACAGAATTTCTTTGCAATCTCTGTCCTTCAAGTCATTGGGCAAGTTAAATTGTCATCCTATCCAGCACAATATCCTGAGTTGTGGCTCAGGTTCCACAAACATACACACTAACCTGAGAGCAAAAGTGTACTCCAATCCATATACAGTGCTGTATACGCTGCAGTCATTCACACAATAACTACTCTAGTCCTGGCAAAACAAAACAAAAAGTAATGCAATATACTAATTTAATTTAAACCCTCAGCTGCCCATCAGCTGCCAAGACTGCTAATTATATGTGATTTGATTGATGAATTCACTTTCAGCAACCAATTATCATCTGTAATTCGTGATATACATATTGATAGGTATAAGTGTCTTAATTTTTTTTTGTTGGAAAGTGCCATGAAGCATTTTTCATTAAACATTACATAAATACAACAGAGTAAACTGAGGTCCTTTATCTTGGACATTTACAGTGTCTGTATTTCCAGCATGTGATTCTTATCTGGGAAAGATGTGGGATCACTATGTTAATCTGCTGCAAATTGATATTATGACTAACTATGTCTAATTGATGTTAGCCTGTGATAAAAGCTTGTAAGTGTGTTTGGCTGTAGGGTGTTTCATGGAGAATGGTCCCACAGGCATGTTGATGGACAGACTCCATTAGCTGCATCTCTGAGGTGAAAGGTGAAACAGGAGGGGAAAGAGTGACAGTTTATAAGGGTCAGGAGGTGAAATAAGAGTTCTGCATGGAGTACAGACGGTCGATGGGATTTCCCACTCGCCCTGCCAGGAGACCGCCCTCCCCTGTTGCTAAGAGGCAGTCGCCAAGGTGACCAAGGCTTCCATCGCTGTCCAGGTCATGGAACACTGTTTCTGAGTCTGCAGTCAAAAGGAAGGAGAGTGTGGACAGCTGAAGTGAAAGAGTTTTTAGTGAGAGCAAGAAAAAAAAAAGTAAAAGCAAGTTATTTTTTTTGTAACTTTTATCTTTGTCTTTCTGTCATACCATAGGAGTGGAGCTGCTCGCTATTCAGTTGAGGTGGTGTAAGCCCATGTCGAAATGGCTCTCCACCATAAATGTTGGGGTCCAGAGCAAGGAGCTGCTGACGTGGCAGAGATGGATATCCCAGCATCCCATCCATGCCATGGGTACTAGATCCATCTATATAAAGATTCAAAACGCCCAAAACTTTAACCATACCAGTCTTTCTTTCCATCTTTTTTTCTTTCCTTCTTGATCTTGTACTGGTACTCAAAGCTCTTACCCTCGCTGTCATCATTGCTTTGGCGGCCCCCTCTGCTCGGTCCCCTCCTGGTGCCTCCCAGCTGCTCTTGTTCCTGCTGTTGCTGCTGCTGCTGTTGCTGTCGGCGAGCTAACTTTTTCATCTGACGCACAAAAGCACACGGTGTACAAATTTTCTCTTTGTGCTTTTGTGAGCATGCCTTTAGCAAAACTATAAAGTCTTACCTTGGCTCTCTGGTTTTGAAACCACACCTGAACAACACGCACTGTCAGCCCAGTCTCTGCAGCCAGTGTCTCTCTCACCTAGAGGATAGAGTTTTTAATTGTTTTAAAAATCTTAACTTCACAGTGCCAAACACAGCAGCCATACCCTTGAAAACTAAAGTTTGGAAAGCATGACCAGGAGTATCTTGTGGCATACTGACAAGACCAACAACCCACCTTACGGCATGGTTTGGCTGACACTTCAAAGGAGGCCTTGAAAGCACGCCGCTGCTGTGTGGTCAAGATAGTGCGTGGACGTTTTGAACGCTTGTGCTCCTTGCCTTCATCACCGCCTTTCCCTCCTCCGGAGCCTCCTCCACCATCCTCATCCTCACTTTTTACTGAGCAAGTTAAGTAAACAATAGCACAATCAGAACAATGCTCTGCAAACAGTGACATTTGAAACAAATATTTTCCATGTAGTTTACAGTAACAGTTTGTTCGTTCTCATGGAAGAAAATGGTACTGCTTAAATTACTTTCAACATACTGCTGAAAACTATTCTCACTATTTGAAATTCAATAATCGCGCCTTCATTTAAAATTTTTAAAAAGGAAGAAGCTTGAAACTTTTTTCTTTTTTGTTTTTTCTTGAAACTGCTTTTGTCTTAAATATTAAGGTTTTTCTTTCAAATACTGTTTACTCATTTAAAGGGGATGAAAATGATTGATTTTGACTAAAGGCATGAGTGTAAAAAGAAAGATTATTTCCCCAAGAAAAGTAATTTTGACCTTTATTATGTATCCTCCGAAGAAACCTGCTTTACCTGATTCAGTTGGTGTAGGGCTGATGGCAGCCAGCATTTCCCTCTCCTTTTCATAGTCCATGCGGCAGAGCAGCTGGCCTTCTTTCAGCACAAACTCATCACCTCTCTGCAGCCGACGTTCACACTCACAGCAGCTGAAGCAGCCCAGGTGGTATACCTGGCCTAGCACACGCATTATCAGCTCAGAACGTCCAATGACTTGCAAGCAGGCACTGCACTTTCTTACAAAAAGCCTGGAGGGGCACAGAAACATACACACGTGGGCTTATATTTTCATGGATACATCCATAAACTGTGAAACATGGCATGATAACAGTCTAGCAGCTTAGAATAAGAAGTAAATTAATTAAAGATGGCAGCACAAACAAGAAGCTCTGACACATTTACCCTTAGCGCCAATGATTCTGGAGATTAGCATAGTCTCTTAATTAAAGGTCCTATAAGCATTACCCAATTCACAGTGCAACAAGGTGAACATCTGTTAGATGGGTTACAGTAGTCTGTATTATTACATTGTTTTTTATTTTTAACATTCTCACAGTAGGGGGCAGTAGTTAGCTTCTTAAAAAGATGTCTGTGGAGAGTTTTTCCCCATTTAAATCCTTAAATGTTAAGATTTCCTTGGTGAAGTGAACTCCACTCTGTCCATATATTGCCCATAATTTATGTATTTATCTCAGTGAATAAAGCTTAAAACAGTCTTTCTCAGGTCTATTACTTTTCCCCATGACCACTTTCCTTCTTTTGTCCCCCCATCTCTCCTCCTGTGCTATGTTACAACCCCTAACTTTCTCTCCCACATGACAATCTCTTGCACATCCCTATTTCTATTCACAGGGCCCAAATCTATGCCATTAAATTCCTCTCAAATCCCTGCTCTTGCACTTGGTTTCCTCCCCTTCCCTCCTCAGTATTCAGTACTTTCTGCCAGCATTCCCAGTTCTCCCTCATGCCCTCCCAGCCTGCCTCCCCAGTTCACTGAAACTAATAAAGACAGGATTAATTAGATTGTTGTTTAAACAGTGAGATGGCCAGACAGACGCTGTAAACTCATAACCAGGGATTGGGGATAGCATGGGGTTAATCTCTCTCCTCTCACTTATGCACGCACACGCACGCACGCGCGCGCACACACACACACACACACACACGCGCACGCACACACGCACATGCACATATGCACGCACACACACACACCATCACCACATTTGCACACACTCACCCACCGAGTATCAGTATATATATATTTGGATAGTTACTCACATTCACCATATCATCAAAGCAGTGGTGCAACACATCTATGATTAGAAAATATTCTTGATCGTCATTACAATTCTTCAGTGGGAAAAGTTACGAGGAAGCCTGAACATGGGTGTGAAACAGATAAAGGTTGATGTATACAGAAATAGCAGCACAATGGAACACAAACCCTGTTAAGAAAGGAGGGAGGATGGGAAGGGAGGGAATGGGGGGAAGAAGGGATGAAGCCTGAAGTGTTGACGCTCCCTGACTGAGTGATAGGAAGGTGTTGCTGCCCAAATCTGGAGAGTAAAGAAGGAGCCAGGTCTGCACATTAGAGCTCCTAATCTGTGATTCTGTCCCAAACGCAGCTGCTACAGCTAATCTTTCTCAATCCATCTGCCAAACGCTCCCCAAATATCCCCAAATGACAGTGTCGCTAACTTAACATCATAAAGCAAACACAATACTCCTATAAGCAACCATACAAAGACTATTATGATAGGACCTTGTGTTTGACTAAATGTTGCTTAAATTACTTAGTCACAGTAACATTACATTGCATTTTAGAAAGATGCTTCCACTGTAAAATTCCTGCAATAACGCACATGTCAATCATAACATGTGGTACAGAACATGCATGCTACAAAAGGGCGCAATCATCACACCGCTCTGCACAGCCTCACTCTCAGTATTTCAAATACGTCCTTTCATTGGGAACAAAAAACAACAAAACAGAATCGTCAGGGTTGCTTGACACAAGATTGATGAGGTTGGTGGTTAAGTCCCACACTCCCTAATCAGGGGTGTACACAGCACGGTAGGAATTTACTCAACATGGCAAATAAAGGAAACTTGGGGCAACTGCCACAGAGGGGGGTCTGTAAGTAGATCAGCATAATCCCTCTAATAGAAGTATCATTCACACATGGGCCTGACCAGGGTGCAGCTTCCAAAAAATCACTACGGGCATGACGGATAAAGAGCAATCATACGATTAAGGTGAATTTAACTTTACAGGATTTATACATTCTAGTCAAACATGGCCACACATGCAGCCCAGGTTCCAGTGCTTGAGTAAATTTGTCAAATTCATCTTGAGTTCTTTATTTTAAATCATTAAAAATAATAAGTCTCTATGGTATGGGTTAATATCTGTATTTTTTCTGGTATGGTGGGTGTTACATAGTTATTTATGTTCTTAATTTTGTTTTAACTTTTTAATGTGTACAATTCAAAAAAGTGAAAACTAGAAGTCAGACAGCTGATGTATATTAAGGAACAGCTGTGCTGAAAGCTAAGCGAATAGATAGTTAAAAAAAACCCTCTTTGCTTTGGATTTAGACAGCTTTACTTTAATGAAGTAATAATATGATATATGCGCGAATGCGTAGAATAGAGTTGCAAGTGCTCACAGGAGGCTGAAGGTAATGATCAACCTTTAGAGCGTGTGATGTACAAAACATTATAAAGACTGGCTCTAGGCAACTTTATGCTCAATGCCATGGATTTTGGAGGGGTTACGGGGCATGGCTAATTACAAGCTCACTGATTACGAGATCAAGTGTAGAGAGGCAGAAAAAGGTGCTGTATTGTAAGTATTGTCTTTCCCTTTTGTTTATTGCAGAGCCTAGGCATACAAACATCACAACACAATCTTCATCACCTCCCTAAGCTGTGTCATGTGGCATTGTTTTGCCTGAGAGCTGTGACAAGCATGACATTGTCTGGTCTGCAATACAATCATTCCATAAATATGTATGTGTCTCAGAGCAACTGCAGTTGTTGCACTTGCTTTCATAACTGATGAATATTTATACAGGTATAGGTTTGGTTATACTAACTCTCTTTTTAAGGAGTTTCTCTTATTGCACTAAGCTTTGGTCTTTTGGTCACCAAGACCAAAAGAACCTAACTTAGATAAATTTAACTTTCACCACCAAGGATCCACCACCATTGTCACTCATTTTGATTTTTGACCTATAGTTTAAGATGGATCTCTTTCTCACAAGGTGTGATAAGCAGAGGTTTAGATGTCCTAGCTTGTGATTCCCACATATGTGACCGTAGTGTGCGACAATGAAGGTATAATAGAAGATTCACGTTACAGATGCAAAAAGTACAAATGATATGCATCAATCTTAGTTTTAAGTTGTATTCTGTTTAGTATCAATTTCTTAGATGTGTGTGGAGTGTGTGCGGTTGTGTGT